TTGTAGTTTTGACCCTCAATTTATTCAATTCTTCAATATTTTGCCTGAAACACAATAAATTAAAACTTTAAGCACCAACCATCAATAAAATATACTAAAAGCTCTAGTTAAAAGATATGATTAAGTGTAAAAATATACACTTAACACTCGTATGTCGGATTGTATACCTTCCACGACCAATTTTCATTCACGGTAAATTTTACGTAGCGTTATCTGGAATAAAGAGTAGATTTGGAATAAAGATCTTCATCAAGTTCGAATGTTGTAAATTGTCCAGTGTTACTACTACCAATGTTGTGTATGAAAAAGTATTTCACAGAATATCTATTGAAAAAAATGATTAAAATACTAAAACTAATTATATTACGAAGTATATACATGGTGACTTTAAGACCAGCTTTGTTTCCTTTTTATTATTGAGATTATATAGCGCGAAAAAACAATCTAATATACTTTAAAAATTTATTGTTGCTTACTTAGATGTTTAATTTATTTAAGAAAGTAATTAATGCACACTTGTGCACTGATTTGATGTGCTATTATTATTGGGAAAATTTGACAACCCCCAAACTACAAGGGTCGTTACATTAGGCGCAATTTTATTTTTTCATTTTTAAGATAAATTAAAAACAACTTTTATTAATTAAAAATCCTTAATTATCACTATTGTGCTGTTAACTAATTAATACACGTGTTTTTTAATAAATGTTATTAGAAGATACATAATATCCTCTACATAAATATTTTAAATAGCACTTTCTCAACTTATTCCACCATTAACGCTTATTGATTGCTATTTGTGTTTATGTGGAATCGGAATTGTAACTCACATAAATAATAATCTGTTAGAAATAATAATATGTTTGTGTCATTGGATAAGCGGCGCGGTGCAGATTCACATGGTGGTTTTCAGATCACATGAGAATTTAAGATGAGTTATATGTGAGGTTTTGTATTGATTTACGTTGGGCAGTAATTTGTACGTGTATGTACACGTTTTGTTGATGTATATAAGATTTGTATGTGTTTGGTGCATTGTACACGTTTTGTTGATTCTTAAACAAATGTAAGATGGTTTTTTTCACGCAGAGTGGTTTTCGCTCATAGAGGGTTTTCGCGCGTATAGTGATTTGCCATTCCCTTATTAAATCCATGGATTTTGACCTTCCCATTTTATTAAATTCACTAGTGTGCAAAGTGAATTTTGCCATTTCCAATGTAATACACGTCAATTTTCTAACCGGAAAAGCTTGTTTGACGTTGAACCAATATATGTATGTTTTTGCCCTAAAGAGATCGAGAAAGATTAGATGTGATAAAAAAAATTAACAGAATAATTAGGTAATGCGATTTTGCCGGAGTGGATTTCGAGCGTGATTTTGGGGGGAGAAATATTAGGAGGATTTTTAGGTGATGCGATTTGGGGAAATATTCTGCATTTTATTCACCATATTTTTAATTTAAAATAATTATACTAATTGGTGGGGGCATATAAGATTTTTTAGGCACAATAAATTTATGTTAAATATCAATTACTAATTCTGGATTTACCAAGAAGTCAAATCTCAATGAGGGGTGTTTAACAAATAGCCCCATTATTATTTGATTCACGTAGTTGTTACGATGGATTATAATTTATTGTACTATTACTTGATCTCTATCTTGTAACTAGTACTTCCCCGTGCGATGCGTGATGGTCAGTTCGAAGATCAAAATCCATTAATCTAAAATATCAATGAATTAAGTAATATCGAAGATTTAAATTTAATATCGATTTTTTTAATAAATTTGTATATCATTTTATTACCAAAAGTCAATAAATTTTTATTTTTTTTGACAACGTTGGAAACACCATCCACTCTGAAATGGCACAACCATCTTCATGAATGCAATGGAATCAGTACACCACCTTTTACACATTCATATAAATCTTGATATAGCATAACACGATAGTACGTTCAAATCAACCATTGCCGGATGGATAACTTGTAATTATTCATTATTGTGAATCTATAAGTTCAACGCATTACTAGGATACAAATATAGTTAAACGAAGAATGTGTGCATATAATTTACCGTACCTGCAAAGTGGCATAATCGAAGAAACATACATAAAATATACACGTATAAGTAAATACAAAAGACATACGCATTTAATCGATAAATGATATTTATTAAGGTGTATATTCATATTCTCTGAAATACTTCTTCATACACAACGTTGGTAGTAACACTGGACAATTTACAACATTCGGACTCGATGAAGATCTTTATTCCAAATCTACTCTTTATTCCAGGTAACGCTACGTAAAATTTACCGTGACTGAAAATTGGTTGTGGAAGGTATACATTCCGACATACGAGTGTTACGTGTATATTTTTACACTTAATCATATCTTTTAACTAGAGCTTTTAGTATATTTTATTGATAGTTGGTGCTTAAAGTTTTAATTTATTGTGTTACAGGCAAAATATTGAAGAATTGAATAAATTGAGGGTCAAAACTACAATTTAGAATAAAAGGTGGACAAAATTGGAGAAGTCAAACATCCGAAAAAGAAAGACTGCGCAATAAACCAACTTCCAAAAATTACAAGGAAACTGCATTTTCTCCAATTTTTCCCATCTTATAAAAAGTCATCTCAAGCACACAATTAGGAGTCATCTTTTTACGCAAAATTCGAGAGCAAATAAGCAATACGAAGACTTTGAAGATTCAAGCATAGTTTTTATTTTCCATAATTTATTTTTATTTAGTTTTTAATTTGATCATGAGTAGCTAAACTCTTTATTTCTAAGATTTTATTTTAAACCCTATGTGGGATTTATGAACCCTTTTTCCATGATTTTATGCAAGTTTTAATTCCAAATTATTTATTCTACTTGTTTTATTAAGTGCATGAAACTGGCCACTTTGTGTTCTTTTATGTTATTGTTAATCGCATGAATCGAAAGATCGGATTAATAATTACAACTTGGGTAGAAAAGCCTTTGTATATTAACATAAGAATATAGTTAATCTCTTAGGTAGCTGTTATTGAGATTTGTGCTTCATGCTGTGTTCCAGAATTAATTGCGTAGGAATACAATATTTGAATCTAGAGTATTAGAATCGTAATACACGCGGAAACGGGTTATGATTAATTTAGCATCTCAGGTTAGTAATCCGAGTTAATAACTTGCATAATTGAAGGAATTGGGGAATTAATAATCACATAGGGGGAGAATAAAATCCTAGGGTTGTCTATATGGATAAATCATCGTGTTTAATTGCTTTCTTGCTTTTGCTTGTTTAAATTGTTTTAGTTTAATTTAGTTTAATTACTCAACTTTCGACCGTGTAGGGTGGTGGACTTGAGCAGAATTGGTAGAATGTAACATCTAGGATTAGATAATTTAAATATTCTTTGTGGGATCAATATTCGGGCTTAATTATCCACTGTATTACTTGTTCGATATGTGCATTTGTGTGTAGGTATTTCCGCCAACAACGAGAGAGTTCGTCCTGGACTTTTTTTTTTTTTTTTTTTTTTTATTGTCTTGGCAAATGAAAGAATGCTGAAAATTTTCGTCTCTGAAATTTAATGGCGATGTGTAATTTGATGGTATGCAAGTTATCTTAGGAATGCTATATGGCCAACATTCTTAGCGGAAATAATATTGCAACTAATTACGTGAATTTTTAATCGCGCAACCAAGAGTCTAGTTTCATTGCACAAACCTCTAGATTGATCAATGTTTTTAATGAGCATGACAGAAACACCGATCTTTAATTTCAGCTCATGAGAAGAAAGACCAGAGCACGATATTGTATTAAGATCTCAATCAAATCAATGTTTGCGTCAATCTCGGAACCTGCTTCGTCCATGCATAGACTATCTGGGCTCAAACACACCTTCTCCTCATCTTGGATGAGTGACGATAGATAATTATTTGCAAATATAGTTATTTCATTGGTAGGCCCCAAGAACGGCCCTCCCTTGAAAGAAATCAGGATTCGAAATATTGTTAAGCAAATCACGATACACAAACTGCAGGATTTGTGGACAGGGATTGTTCGAATCTCGAATCAACATGTAATCGGGGATTTCAACTGAGGATTCACCATCATTCGAATCTCCAGCTTTTCTATTGCCAATTCTCAATATCCAATCGGCAAATTCTCTTATTTCCTCTGCATTAGAAGAAAATGCATATGATTGAAGCCTTATATTTTTGTGAAACCTCATAACATGACAGGCCCTCCACTGTGGAGATGATTTGACTCGATGTCTTCAGTACAATAGGTAAATATGCCTAAAGTATCCACCAAGAACAATAACCTTATCACCAAAAGGTTTGTCCGAATTTTATATGGATCTCATGGTCTTGTCTAGTGCTTTAGAATAAAATTGATCATCATTGCTGCCTCATCCCGTATAATAAGTTTACCCTCAAGCAACAACTCTGGTTGAGGAATGATTGCATGTGGATCTCTCATGCACTATCAAAAGTTTGAATCTAGAACGCGTTGTTCTTATACTTCGATCGCAAATAGCCTATGTGCGCTATCAAGACAGGTAGCTCGCTACCAATGAAAAATAGCTGAGAAATGAACCATCATTGGCTAAACCCACGAGCCAGAGACGGAATTCCCAAGTTGAATGGGAAATCACCCATTTCTGCACTGATTCCGCCGAATGCTCATCTTCTCTACAACGGGAAAATTTTCTCTAAGCCAATCCAGTTCTCTGCCTAAAGGTTTACTGGAACCTACCAAGCACTTGCCCGCATCTCCTGTGGGTTTTGATTTATTAGTGATTTTATCCTGCTTCGATAACTCCTTTCTTCTGCACCTGAGAATCTTCCACACCTCATCTACCACCTAGAAGCAGTAGCGATGCAATACGAGGCAACATTAACAACAATTCCCTTCTTGGAGTGTACATCGGCGGACAACATGCTCCGAATAAATGTCTTCACGCTGTCACCATGGTCGTACATAAGGAAAATAATTCTACTTTGTATCAATGACTGTGTCACAAACTGTTTTTTGATCTGGTATGATCGGCGATAGCGCGCATTTCTAAGATGTCGTAATTTAATTAATCAAGAATCAACCTATGTGGTGTCTATCATTGACTCTATCGGTCCATGCATAGGTGTATTGTTATGTCAACTCTTACCGTTGCTCTGTAGTCACCATGTATATACTTCGTAATATAGTAAGTTTCAGTATTTTTATCATTTTTTTTCAATAGATATTATTTGTAGCTTACATATGACTTCTAATTTATAAATATTTACCATCACAATTTTTATCAGTTTTTTAATTTCTTCTTCGGTTCATGAGAGCATGAGAGGTATCTAAAGTACCCAGCTATAAATGGTCTAATGAATATGACCGTAAAAACAAAAATTTGAAACAAAAAATTGAACATTTTATTGGATAAAAGAAACCTCTGCGTTTTGCGAAAGAATTTAAAATAATAATATTAAACACAACTAAAGATGTACCAACAATGAAAGAAAATAAAACCTACATAACAATAAATAAAAAACGAAACATCAAATGATGAGAAAGGTTGTCTTCATGGATGGATCCATCGCGCTTTAATTCATTATCTCTCACTAAAACTCGCAATCAACTTTATATTTTAGACATTCTCCTTTCCCTGCATCACAAACTAATAGAATTTTAGTCATTACAACATACATATTCACTTATGATCATGAAGAATGAATGATTAGTAAAACTAATTAAAAATACTTCGATCGAATGTCGACAAATAATGCACTGCAATGCACTTGTTTCATTTATATAGCTAGATGATGCAGTATTGTTAAAGTAAAATGCAACATATATATTATGTAACTCAAGGAGGCAGTAGGGTAAAACTTACTTGGGATATTTTAACTTGACTTGGTTTCTCAGTACTGGTGAGGAGGAGGTGGAGAACTGTACTTGTAAACTGGGGTTGGTGGCGGTGGAGACTTGTATTTGTAAACAGGTGTTGGTGGTGGAGGAGACTTGTATTTGTATACTGGAGTTGGTGGTGGTGGAGATTTGTACTTGTATACGGGAGTTGGGGGTGGAGGGGACTTGTATTTGTAGACAGGTGTTGGTGGTGGTGGAGATTTATACTTGTAGACGGGAGTTGGAGGTGGTGGAGATTTGTACTTGTAGACTGGAGTTGGTGGTGGTGGAGACTTGTACTTGTAAACCGGAGTTGGCGGTGGTGGAGACTTGTACTTGTAGACTGGAGTTGGTGGTGGTGGAGACTTATACTTGTACACTGGGGTTGGTGGTGGTGGAGATTTGTATTTGTAGACGGGAGTCGGTGGTGGTGGAGATCTTGTACTTGTACACCGGAGTTGGTGGTGGTGGAGACTTGTACTTATAGACCGGAGTTGGTGGCGGTGGAGACTTATACTTGTAGACCGGAGTTGGGGGTGGTGTGGATTTGTACTTGTACACTGGGGTTGGTGGTGGTGGTGATTTGTACTTGTAGACCGGAGTTGGGGGTGGCGGAGACTTGTACTTGTACACTGGGGTTGGTGGTGGTGGAGACTTGTACTTGTAGACCGGAGTTGGGGGTGGTGGAGACTTGTACTTGTACACTGGGGTTGGTGGTGGTGGAGACTTGTACTTGTAGACCGGAGTTGGGGGTGGTGGAGACTTGTACTTATACACTGGGGTTGGTGGTGGAGGAGATTTGTATTTGTAGACTGGAGTCGGTGGTGGTGGAGATTTATACTTATACACTGGGGTTGGTGGTGGAGGAGATTTATATTTGTAGACGGGAGTCGGTGGTGGTGGAGATTTATACTTATACACTGGGGTTGGTGGTGGAGGAGATTTATATTTGTAGACGGGTGTTGGTGGTGGCGGAGATTTGTATACGTACACAGGTGTGGGCGGTGGTGGGGACTTGTATTTGTAAACTGGCGGCGGTGGTGGGGGAGAGGTGTAGACATAAGGAGGAGGAGGAGAGGAGTATTGGTAGTTAGCATTGGCTATTGAGGGGAAGCAAAGAGCCAATATTGCTACAATTGCAAAGAGAGAAGCCATATTTGTTTTACTTCCCATGTTTGCGTCTAAGCTTCTTCTCTTAATGAATAAACACAACTTCCCCATCCCTCTTTTATAGCTTAGGTTTCACCATTATCAATGATTAATTAATCAAAGTTAATTCTTTGTTTGTAATAAAAATAATTACAAGTCCTCAATAATTGGCTGGCAATATATACGTGTTTCCAACAACGCGACATTAGGAATAGTTTAATTAATAATAATTTGTTTTATATATATATCAAAATGTCAGTAATAATAATTCAACACATGCAGCATGGGAAAAGTCCTCGGATTATTTAAAAAAAGAAAAATGAAATCAGCATATTCTTTCACGATTATTATATAATAAATGTTTAATTCCTATTTAAACTATCTGTTGAGAGTCGCATTATTGTGTTTTCTGTTTCTGCTAAAATCGGAATATGGAAAATAATATATCAACGTACGCGTTTTTGTCTTATATATTTATTTATTTATGTAAAATTCAGAGTTCGTGGATACAACTAACTAGCTAGTACAAGTTGATGCATGCTTTACATTGCAAATCATACATTTGCTTGTACGAACAAAATCAATGATTGATAAGTTATCTATTTTTATTTTAACAATTATTAAACACTTATATATTCATTCATTCATTCATTTTTTTCAGGTAAATATACAATTGCTTTGCAACTTGTAGCTTACAGCTAATTCGACGATTAACCACCATTTTTTAATTTGTAGTCAAGTATTTCAATATCAAAAAAAAAATACTATAAGGTGTTTACTTTATTTGATCATTTATTTAAACACAAGGAAATACATTTTTAAAAAACATTCGATTAGAATTCCGAAATTTAGATTTTTATTTGATCTATAAAATATTGATTTTAGTTGTTTCTTAAATAATATATTTTGCAGCTCATAATGGAAGTAAGAGGAAAATTTTCTCAATGATAATGTAAAAATTTATTAATTGTTCGACAGTTTGAAGTGTCATAACTGTATCATTTGAAATTATATTTGTTGGAAGGTTTTTATTTTTATTCTTGCATTTGATGTGAACGATTACGAAGTTGAATGTTTTCAATCAGTTATGTTAGTTATATTCATGTTATAGTTAGATATTTAGTTATTTTACTATATCTTTATCTACGTATAACTTTTTAACTTTTTCCCCATCACTCTTGTGGATTTATATGCATGTAACTGCATATTTTATTGTATTATATTTCAATAAAAGTTACAAATATTTTATTATATTATTTTATTCTAGATATCTATGAGTAAAAAAAATTGGGGGGCCTGACCCTGAACTTGTAAATATCTAATTTATCTAGCTAATTTTATCACTCTTTTAGTTATATTGTCTCCAAAATTTTCAATTTCAATAAATAAAAAAATTGGTTTAGCCGTGATGTACGGGCGAGTTAATATTTACATTAAGACCCACAATTTTCCAGAAACAACTCTGCTGCCGAGTACGATTTAATTAGTTAAATTTGGGTTTTAGATAGTATTTATAACAACATGCATGGTCCTAATTGGCCTAGTTATGTACAGATAATTTTCGAGTGCAGTACACTTTTGTATTTCGATAATGTTAATAAAACAAACGTATAGGATAGAAGGATAATGTAAATAAGATGGTTAGCCTTCCTTTGATTAAAAAAAAAAAAGGGTAATATGCATGACACCCCTCAAATTAGACCTAACTAGATGTGTGGGACAAGTTAAAATATAATATTTTAACTAAATTCGTAGTTCTAAATAAAAATTGACACAAATCATCTTTTTTATTTTTAACTTAAAAATACCTTTAATATAAATAATAAAAAATCCGAGGACTATATAATGATAGGGAAGAAGAATAGGTAAAGAGAGACATATAATGATACATTTTCCTCATATTTTTTTGAGAGAAATCCATTTCCCTTATTTTAGTGCAATTTTTTTTTCCACCTTTTCCCTGAAATTGTTTTACATAATATTTTACCTATTAACCAAACAAAAAAAAATTATTTTACATCACATTTTCACTATTTTACCCACTATTTTCATTGAACCAATCAGACCCTAAATGTTTTAGTAAATGAACAAATAAGATCTTATTTAAAAAATGTGGAGTGAAAGTACTTTTCTAAAATAGCTTACAAGGCCCTTAACAACTTTCTTTTAAAGGTTAACAACAAGAAATCCCCTAAACTTTGGACGTTTTACCCTTAAATGGAAAAAAGTTGCACGGTCATACTTGAACTTGCTAAATTGTTACACCTACAACTAAAAAGTCCATTTATAGCCAAATTTCTCCCGAAATTGCACACGTGCCGACGTCCGCCTCTTCAAAATCGCCGAGCCCCCCTCCCTCAGCCGCCGCATCTACCTCTCCTTTGTCGTCCCTATCGGCGCAATTATGAAGGAAACGGGGCAATGGTGTATTCTCGTCGCCGGTTGAGTCTCCAGCTGTCCACCCTCCACCAATTAAGCTTCTTTAACCGTTCAATCGTTCGAAAATGCGCAATCGGAGCCGTCGGTTTTCATACTCCTATAACCACCTTTAGTGGGGCTCCCCCATTCATCGCCACATTCAATTGGCCAGTGACTATTCTGTTTAATTTGAATAATTTTTTCTTTAAATTAATCGGGCTCTTTGAGAAAACCCCCTCACTACTTTTTTTAATGGAGGGAGGCCCAAAATATTTTAGTCCATTTGAGAAAAGCCCACACCCATTTTCAG